AATATAAATATTATAAAGGATATTATCCTCCAATTCCTCTGCTGTCTTTTTCTTTTTTTTTTTACCTTTGGGTTCGCGCGAAGCCGCGAACCCAGCTCCTGGGTTCCGAGACGAACTCAGGGGAGGGGTTTGCGACGAACCCTGCGCCTGGTTCGTCTCGAACCAAACTCCTCGGTTCGTCTCGAACCAAACTCCTCGGTTCGTCTCGAACCAAACTCCTCGGTTCGTCTCAGAACCCAGGCGCTGGGTTCGTCTAGGAACCCAAGCGCGGGGTTCGCCGTGAACCCAGCTCCTGGGTTCGTCTCCAAACGGAAGATGAGGGATTTTGGGTTTAGGGGGAAAGAAGATGAGGAAGAATACGGTGAGTATTTTCGGTTTGTTTCTTTGATTGGATGAGGAATAAGATAGTTAACAAGATAGTTCAGTATTTTTGGTTTGTTTTTCTGATTGGATGAGTATTTTCGATTTATTTCTCTGATTGGACGAGGAAGAAGAAACAAATGTGCTTGGACTGCTTGGTAATGGCATTATAAATTGGACCTTTATATACTAGTTTTTTCGTAAATAGAAGGAAGTGTGAGGATACAATGAGAAAACCATGTCAATTTCATTAAACATGAAGCGAGAAACTCCCGCGGAAGCACGAAGAAATTGGTGCTTCCGGGATTTGCAACGGAACGGGGGGGCGATGTGCTTATGGGAAGCTGCAGCACGTTTGAGAAGCTAGTTGTTTGAGAAGCTATCCCGTTTGGTGCAGTTTGTGCTTTTAGAGCCAAAAAGCTCTTATCACAATCTGCACCAAACTGCCTTTAAGAGTATTTCTATCTCCTCAAATTAATGGCATTCATTTGGTGGTCTCATTTAACTATTCCTTCTCAGTTCAAGTTAAACATTCTTACATCTTGTTAATTGGCTAATTCAACACGAAAACAATCTACAAATGAAATACTGATTAAAAATGAAGCAAAATAGATCAGGCTCTGACTTCTCTCAGAATGAAAACTTAATGATTGGATTTCAACATAACCCCCAGTACAAAATTAGTCCATAATCAAAGATAGAAAACAAACAATTGTACTGGAATTCATTAAAACTAAAACAGAAAAATAGAAACTAACACAGGTTTTCTATGGGTAAAAGGAAAGAAATTACTAATCTGAATTTGGAAGAAATCTGCCCATTGAATGTTGCTTATGAGAAAAATAAAAAAAATGTAGATTTTTCCTCTGCTTCTTCTGACTGTTCTGCTCTCCCCCTTTTGCATCCAGAAGACAGTTTTTCTTTTTACAGTTTCTTCCCACTTTTGCTCCACTTCCTTCTTTCTATTTTCACGTTAAAAACTACCCACTAACTCCAAAACTGCCCTGCTATCTTTTATGCCATGAAATTTGAAGCAAGCTCGAACCAGAATCTTCAATCCTTCAAATTTCCAATTTTGTTACTAGAGTCTCCAACTTTTCAGAAATTGCTATTCTAGCCCTCACCTAAGAGAAGACAACCAAATTATGTAAAATCACGAAGAATCTCACATAAATAGTATAGTGATCTTAAATTTAAGGCTATATTGACCTATAAAACTGCATAAATAATTGGTCTCATCAAGGGCTATCCCTATTGTATAACCCATCATCTGCTGTACTTATAAAAGAGTTTTTAGCTGCTGATTTCTTGTAAGTTATGGTCTCAGCACCAGCCTATACTGTTATAAAAATAATCTGTTGTATTTTCTGCAAGAAACCATTTGATGGATAGCTATGTTACTGAATAAGTGGAATTTTAGGGTTTGTCCTGCAGAGAATTATCTTTAAAGCACCATAAATGAAATAATTTGTTCTTTGTAACCTGTTGTAAAATAGTTTCTAGTGAAACAGACACTTTAAGTTGTTTGATGGGTTCCCTCAAATGTCAGAAAGGATACTATGACTCCTCTAAACTTGTGTCCATGTCTGATGCTAAAGATGATATGGCGTTCACTTCATCACTTGTTCCTTTGCATTCATGTAATACATTTGCTGCTTGCTTTGTGGGTACGCATGTAAAGTAAAACCGATTTACCATTTGTTTCCTTTTACTAACATCTATACTTCATGGTACTAAATGCAGGTCGGTTCCATGCCTCTGAGATGGCTCAGAGATTGGATCCTACTTCAAGTGGACGTGGTGTTCGCCAGTTTAAAACTGCACTCCTCCAACGTCTTGAGAGGGTGAGTTGGATTATTGGTTCCGGTGTGGCACATCATTACTGATCTGACAGATTCTGAGCCTATTTTGCAAGTGGAGTTTGATTTGCCAGTCCACAAATTTGCTGATGCAACATAACTTGCCCTGTGGCAGTGGAATAAGATTTTCTATTGCTTTTAAGATTTTTAATCTTTTTATGACTTTGTTGGTTTGATGAGGCGATTTATTTATGTATTATTACAGGAGAATGATCTAACATTAATGGGAAAGGTTAAAAAAAGTGATGCTGGTGTAATGCAGAGCTTTTATCAAGACTATTACAAAAAGAACATCCAGACCTTGCAAAATGCTGCTGACAAAGCCGATCGGTTAGTCCCAAAAATAAAATGGGGATATATGATAGAAGCTTTTTGGATAACATGTTTTGGAATTGACATCTAATTTTCTGTTTCTAATAGGGCGCAGCTTACGAAAGCATACCAAACTGCGACTGTTCTCTATGAAGTTTTGAAGGCTGTTAATTTGAGACAATCAATGGAAGTTGATCAAGAGGTGAAACTACTTAGATAACTACTTAGATATCTTTACTTATGATCTATTTTTTGAACAATTTTAATTTTTTTTCTTTGCTTTCTATTTATAAGATCAATTTACTTGGAAGTAGTGAGCTTCAAATGGATCCTGATAAGTGCCTTCTGATTCTCTGCATGATTGTACAGATTTTAGAAGCTCAAGATAAAGTTGCAGAGAAGACACAGATCTATGTTCCTTACAATATCCTTCCTCTTGATCCAGATAGTTCAAATCAGGCAATTATGAGATATCCTGAGGTGTGTTTCAAAGTTTAATCCCTTCTGATGAAGTGTTTTGATATTTCAGTTCATTTTTACTTATCTTTTTGTAAAATATGGTTGTTATTTTCATTTCAATTTGAAGATCCAAGCAGTTGTTTATGCTCTTCGCAACACCGGGGGTCTTCCATGGACCAAGGACCACGAGAAGAAGACAGATGAGGATATTCTAGATTGGCTTCAGGAAATGTTTGGGTTTCAGGTGAAACAAACTAAACTCTTTCTTTCCTTAAATGTTTGAAGCATGGTGGTGAACCATGATTAAGTTGAGAGCCTCTTAAATTTGTTTGCTTAAGTAAC